GGGCCGCAATGCATTATGGGATATGCTGGGCCGGGAAGGATCCATCAGACTTGTCCTTCGATTCGGGCCAAAGGAAGGACATATTTGTCGGCCTCATCGGAGGAGTCTTCGGTTTTGGACGTCCTTCGTCGCGGCGCTGTGACGTATGCAGCCGACAAATTCGGCCTTCGGAGGACCCGTCCTGATGTTTTGGACACAGCCATAGAAAGTATTAGAAGTGGGAGGAGCAACAAAGAAGGAGCTGCATGGGGAGGAGTTAAAGTCTTGAGGAGAACGTGTTAAAAGTGGGAGGAGCCTCATGTAAAAGTAGCTGGATGCTAAAGGTGTTTGATGCAGGAGGGATTATGGGAGGAGCTGTATRTGGGTGAAGTTTAAATGTGGAAAGTGTTAGAAGTAGGAAGAGCTGCATGATGGAGTAGTTTGGAAGTGGGAGAGGATAAATGTGGGAGGAGCTATATGACGATGCAAATGACAACAAACAGAAACAATTTTTAGAGCAGACAAGCACAAAACATTTAGAGCATTTTAAAAAATCAGAACAGCTCTATGTCTACGTCTGTCATCTGTAMGGATCTCAAAATAAGCTGCAACAAATGAAAACACTAATAGAAAGCAAAGTGTCACTTAAATTAACTTGCATGTTCAGTTTTTTTGACTTTGTCATTCAAAATGGGATTCATTCTGAAAGCCTCTCAGCTCAATCTGTAATAAAATCCCCTCCTCCTCGGTTCTGTTCTGATGGGAAAACCCTGAGAGCGTGTTAATCCCCCGAGCCTCATTGTTCAGTAATCACACAGGGACAGGATTTAGATATCTGATGGCAAACAGTAAACTGTGATTGCAACAGAAAGGAGGGCAGTGTTGGCTGAATGTATTTACTTTTTTTTTTCTTTCCCCTTCCTCCTCACTGTTATGCTTCTGCTTTCACTGGAGACGTGCCGGGCCTCACATACTCACAGGGAGCTGCTGCTGCAGCACGTTACAGACACGCCAGGGAGGGGGACATGTCCACTTTAAAGGGAACGACTCTAACTTCTTCATTTAAACAAGTTGCAACCATTAAATCTCCTATTTTTTCTTCAATTTCCTGTCATTTAGCTTCCCTCCTTCCTCTGTTTCACTCAGGTGTGCCTCTGAAACTCGACCTCCTCGTTACAGACAGTGAATCCATTATGTCTGGCTCCRTTTACAGCGCCTGGACAGAAAACCTCAGAGTGAAGGAGGACAAACAGGAACAGCACAGACTTTCCCACAGAAACACTCAATATTAAAGGCCGTGGTCAGTGGTGAGGAATTCTGGGCACAGATCATGATTGACTGGGGGGGTTTGGCAGCTCGCAGCATGCGGGGAGTCTGAGGGAGAAAAACAACCTCACATGGCCGACACACTGACCACAGACAGGAGGGATATATATATATATATATATATATATATATAAAAGCTTTAAAATAGGCCTAGTGACGCCACTGGTGCCCACCACTGCTAGTTTGGTTTTTATTTGGTCAAAGCTAGCTAGCATAGCAGATAGCTACTATTTTGAGTAAACTAACCTTTATTGACCAGCCTTTATTGACAAGCTAACAGCTAGTTCTAGCTTGGCCTGTCATCTTTGAAAYGTTTAAAATTTATGTTTGGCCACTTGAAAAGTTTGGCCAATTTTTACACTGCTGTCAGCTGAGCATTAGARTAATTATTTAGTCAAATATATTGTTAATATTCCTGCTGGAAGAGCCCCAGGCACCACCAGAGCTAACCACAGCTGTTTGAGTTTGAAATTACCAGAAATGTATGTAAATAACCATGTAATACGAACGTGATGGAGGATAAAAGTTAACAAAATAGTGTTTGTGTGAACCACAATAACCGTTTGGTCAGGGTTGAACTCTAGTCCTCCAAACAACTTGTTGAACTACATACAACAGATAAAACATTAATTGTTCTTTACAAAGAGCTCCACTTTAAAAAGATCTGACCTAAACGTTTTAAAAAGGTTTGTAGCGTTCCCTCCTTCCCACCCACCTGCTGCTGGGGGGCACTGTCGGCTCTTRCAGCGCTCTTTGCAGCGCCTGTAGAAAGGGAAACACTGCAGCATCTTCACACCCATGACTGAGCAGTCTGAGGACAGGAGAGAAGAAAGAAAAGTGTCTTTAATAAGCAGGAAGTGAACAGCACAAACTAAACTTCTCAACATTAGCTTGAATTTTAGCTGCAGGTCCCGGTGGGATGGATTTACGATGCTGCACTTCAGCACTGTGGCAGCTTAA